TTAAGACATGATATCGCCAGCCAGTCATTTGGATGATCTAGAAACGAAAGATTGATGAAAGAGATTGCTAAGATTATTAAACAATGTATCTACTAACTGCATACACAGGTCATGAATTTATAAATTAATATATGATTATACACAATGAATTAACAACTTATCAATTATGGGATATACCTAAAAATTGTTATGATGCGTACACAAATAATTATTTGAACAAACTAATAATTGAACTTGGAAGATTTGCAAATTTCTATATAGTATATCTTTGCCGAAATGAACGAATAACTGGATAACAGTGTAGGAAACTGATAAAGGACTTGTTCCAAATTAGTTATGCGATAACGCGATCGCGTTTGGAGTGATCTTCGCCTATATCGATAATTTCTGATCAGAGCTACGCGTACTATATAGTTAGCGCGAGCGTTTCTGAACTAACAAAGTTGGGATCCCAAGCGGGCACTCCCAAGTGCCAAGAGCGACAGTGTTATCGCCAAAGTGTTACTGACCCTGGGAGATTTTATCGACGGTCCCACGGTAGTCTATCTATCGAGCGAGCTTTACGGGGACGTTTCCACGTGTAGCAATTTCGGAAAACGATGGGGGCGGTTCTTCGATGGGAAGGTATCGATATAGTGCTGGGGAGACTCAATATAACTCGACTCTCTCTTTCTCTACGCAATATCGGAATGCAAAGCGAGAGCAAATCGACTTTTCGAGAGATGGAGCGAACGAGTCTTAGAATGACGGTGCAGGATTTTAGGCGGCCTGCATGCGCCTGTTAGGCAGGTGCTGATTTGGGGAGGATCGTGATGTGGCAGTGATTCCGGGGTGAGATCACGCTCGCGGAATCCGCAACCGAGACGCAGATCATTAAAATATACACATATACGCATTCATATACATATATGTATATATATATGCACGCTTTACATTATTGCCTGACTCGCCGTGAAATCGCTCTGGTGAAACAAATTAAGCTAAACGCATATGCAAACATTGTCGATCGGCAATCAAGACGAAATGACATAGTTATTGGAAAATTGATGATCAAACGAATAAAAGAAATTTTGAATTCAGGAAAAAGTCACCTAAAAGTATAATAAATGACGTATGTCACAATTCAAAGATTCAAGAATATAACAATGAACCAAGAATAAAAAAAGATTTCTTGTTTACTAAAAAGTCCGAGAAATGAAAAGCAAAGAATAATTGCAAACTTAAATATATACTCGTTCTCTCTCTCTCTCTCGAGTCTTGGAAACAGATAAATTCATCGCAACCTCCGGTATTTACATCCTGCGATCCTCGAGAGTCGCGTTTTCCGTTTGCGGAGCCACCTACGCACGTCTCTTTTTAATAGACAAGTAGCATAAATTCGCTCTGATATATGGCCAGGGCGATAGCGCTCGTACATGAAAATATCGCACGAGCGGCTCGATCCATCACAGAACTGCCTTCTTCCGCGCCATGCGCGATCGTCCGAGCATATTCGCGAGCGCGGGAGAGAGGAGATGGCGCGCTTCGGCTATTAATAATCATAAACGAGAAGTTCGCGTGTTTTTGCCGCTCTCGCGCGATGCAATTTTTTCACAACCGGTCTCGCAAAAGAAACAAAGGGGGCTCGAAGGGAGAAAGTTGGAACAACGATTTGATGCGCGCATACTTCTCGACAATAAATGCTGCGCCGCATCTCTTCGCTCCTCGATAATATCCGTTTCAAGGGCGAAGCAGGCGCGACGGGACGTCGCTGAAATCGGTCCGTAATTAAAAGCCGCCTTTATCGTCGTCTCTGGCGACGATGGTTTTTTCTCCCGACACTTCTTATTCAACTTATTCTCTCGTCGCCGCCGGACCTGCGACTTCCCTCCTCGTCGCGGTTATCGGGCCGTTCTCGGCCTCATTTAATAAGTAAGAACGACACAACGTACCGGTAGCCAGGCGCGCATCGGCGCGCGAGCACGCCCATTAAATTGTTAACGGCGGCGACTCGCGGCGATCTCTCGGGATCGCGATTCAAGGTTTTATGCAAATCGACCCGTGTACACACGGCGTGTTCGCGAATCGATAACGGCCACTCAATAAAGTCGTCGTCCCTCCCTAATGCGAATTCTTCACTCCTCTCGCGCCCCCTATTCGTATTCATCCCTTTCTCTCTCTTCCGATCTTTTTTTTTTCATTTCGATTTTATTGCATAATTTTTTAGGGAATTATGTGCATTCACAAAAAATGAGAGATTAAAGTTTGGACTTGAAAGTCGCAAGAATTCGTTTATAATTTACGATTCTGAATTAAGCGTTCGAGATTTAGTATCCAAGTTTTTCGGAGTATATAGACTCTGGAGAATTAATAACTGAGAATTAAGACTTATGTGTAGATAAATTTTTCCGTTCGAAATTATTCTATTTAAATCATCGATGTTATCTGAAATATATATTGAGAATGCGTTCTCGGAGAATTAAGTTGTGGGGCTTAGGTGTTAATAAATTACATCTTTCTCCATCTCTTTCTCCATCTTCGTCCTTCCGTTCTCGATTGCTCTCATTTTTTTTTAGTTTTGTTGGTTCTTTTCGCCGCTTTAGCGATCGCCGATCGCGAGACTATCGCGAGACCTGTCGTGAGACACCTGCTCCGCGAGAGGCGAAGCGCAATTAAATTGTTTATCCGATCGTAATGAGGCGGTAATCGTGACACTTAAATGCGCCGTTAAATACCGCTGTTAGCGAATTTCCTGGATTTTTCAAAGTCCGTCCGACTAAAAAAAAAAAAAAAATACAGAAAAAAAAACACGCGTGACTTTAATTGCGCGAATTACGGGCGACGATGTTCTGAAATATGAGCTAATTAATCGCGAACGACGCCGAGGGCGAAAAACGGAGGTACACGCTTCGCGGGACCCGGGAGTTTTCGTGAAAGTGGCATCCACCGCTGGACCAGCTGCGATCACGTGCAAATTGGAAGAGGCGTGACGAGAGAGTCCTGCCTCGGTTAACGCGTTCCTTTAATATATTTCTGAGAATCGGTGGGCGGGAGCGAGAGAGCGCCAGACGGTTTTTCGTAAAATATGGTACCGAATCGCTCCAAGACGCGCGCGACCGCAGATCCCTGTATGCTTCTTCTCTCGGGGGCGAGCTAATCAATTTTTAAACGTAAAGCTGCGGCTGGAAGTCGAACATAAAACTCTCGATCTTGATACGGTGGCGTAGTTTATAACATAGTACGAGGAGATGTGTCTTACATCCTTGTACTTGTCGAGTTGCTGTACGTAAAATTAATCGAGTGTATCCATGCTAATTTTATTAATTTTATATTTTATTACATTTCTATATGTGTCTATAAATTATTCGATATTACGCGATATGTATATTTTAAAGTTATTCTGGCTGTAAAAATTTCCTAAGATCTTCGCGCTGTTTTAAATGTTTACATATTATTATCTTCTCTTCTTTGCCACCAATAGAGCAATTTAAATATTTCATTTATATTTCAAGATCTTGGAATTAATTATAAGATTTTAAATTGATTATATAAATCTTTCTACGTCCGCTTAAAGAGAGATTCTACGATTCAAAAGTCCAAATGTCCTGCTGAATTATACCATTAAACGTTATCAGGTGAAAAATATATACACTTTTCCATGCAAGATAGCTCGACGACGAGAGATAAGCAACGATAATCGATTAATCATAGCCAGCAGTTAATATCACGTCGACATTAACGTTGATCCCGGAATGACTGCAGCGTTGAACGAAAAGGGTATACGTACGCATGTAGATAGATAAATATATTTTTCTGTCACGCATATGTATCCGCCTCAGTCATAAACACGCAGAGAGAGAAAGAGAGAGAGAGAGACTGGGATGCATGACCAGGGCAGGTGCGTCGTCATTCATGCAGATAGATGATCGAGGGATAACTCGAAATCAGCCACGTGCGTGAGCCCTTTTTGACGTCGAGCGAGCGCTCGATTTCGAGCATTCGGCGTTTAACATTATTGTAAATTTCCGCCCCAAACGTGAGAGATCTAAGCGATAAATTCAGTCGGCGCGATTAAGGTGCCGACGTTCTAATGAGATGTAATGACCGCCCGTGACGCTACGATCGAGGAGAGTTGCGTGTCGATAGGTCAACTCTCGCAATGCAAGACGCGAGGCAAAAAGCCAGCCGGAAGGTCGAATAAAACCTGTCACGGAAATGTCGAAATAATAGTCGAAATACGCGACGTGTTTAATTATAAAAAAGGGTTTACTTTTATTTTTTATTGATATCTCTCTCTCTCTCTCCCTCTCTCTTTATATATATATATATATATATATATATATTTGATAGTATTAGTAAGAAGTAGAAAGCGAGCTCTTCCTTATAATTAAACAGCAATTTTAGCAGCGGTCAATAATTAGCCTTTATCGCGTGTCGGACCTTTTTCCGTCCAATCTCGCAATTTCGTTCAAAGTGTTTTCGAGGGCAATTAGTTAGAGATGAGAAATTCGCGCGAGAAGAAATCGAGGAAATCGTCGGTCCGGATGACGTATGCGCTGACACTCTAATCGCGTTTTAATTAACCCCTTCCAGTAAGGACGTCGACGCCGTGCCGACATGGGAGTTATAGATATTTCATTCGAAAATATAGGTTTAATTTAGCGGCCGCTCGATCAACGTCCGGACGTTATAAATGGGCGCTATGATTGCTCGTTACACCACTATGCAGAAAAGCGTTTTGCCGGGATACGAAACGCCAGTGCGAGCAGAGTGAGAGAGACGAACGGTGCAGACAGATTAGCTACTAGCTGAAGAGCATATTTTAATCGAGTTTTGTGAATTATTATTCGATCGGCTACCGATACGATGTCGACGCGAATAATTATAACGAGTCTCGAAGTCGGAAACTTATAATCCAATCCCCCTTTCAACCACGATTCAAATCTAGATATATCCAAGAAAATATTTGCTGTCGTGTTTCTCATAGGAACATCAAGTATCGAAAGTATATATGTACTCACCTTTCGTAGTCGGTGAGTCTCGACGAATCCCTAAAACCTTTGGCGAACGGATTACTATCGATCTTCAGTCTCGTTATCTGCAAATTTACATTTTACTCTGTTAAGTTCAACACTCTTGGATACTGTTCTTCTAATAATACAATTCCAGTTTTGCATAAGAAAAGATTAATTAAAATAAAATAAATTCAAACGACTCGTTGTTACATAATTTACCACTTTCTTAGAATTTAAATAATTAAAAAATAAAACATGTTCCTCTCCATTCGACGCGGAATAAAAATCTCTTTCTACAGGAAATGAACGATGTAAAATATTTCTCTCAAGATTCTTGATCTCGAGAATATTACGCTTTCAATCCCGCTAGATTCGGCCTGCCGAGTTAACGTTATACATAAATCGACTGTTATATTCCGCACTCACCAGCTGATTCTGATACGCCGTGACGGCGGTGAAAATGGCCTCCGGGAAGATAAACGTCTTGTGCTCCTCCTTCTGGAGGTCGCTGATGTGCAGGCCGTTGTCGTCGTTGTGTCGACAGCGGACCAAGTGTATCCTCGGCTGATACCTGTGCATCGAGTTTAGCACGATCTGCAACAACGAGATCCAGCCCGCTCGATTATTCGCGTTTCTCCAACTTGGAAATTAAGGCCGAAAATTGATTCCGCTTCTCTTAATGAATTCCGCACATATAGTCGCGCAGGCGCGAACGCGACACGCCCAATAATAATAAAGTGTACGATTATCGTCGCGATCGGCGACGATGTTTTCGCACGAAACGCGCGCCTTAAGTCGACGATTATCGCAAGTTATCGCGCGGTTATTTAGCGTATGTGTCTCTGTATCTAATTGCGAGTTAACATATTTCGTTTCCGAGAGCGGACACTCCACTTATCGCAGATTAACACCGCGAAAAAGTAGCTCACTCTTATACCTTATTCTTGATTTTTATGCTCTTACGAATGGATCCACGAATGGTCCGCACAGTGTAATCTCTCGAATATATGAGTATGAGAGCTAATAAATACAGAGATCGACAAAAATTTATAACAATGTTGTAATCGTTATCGAATCTCAAGGCGATGTTATCCTTGACGAAAATTTGTTTCCAATTGGATCTCGATAACACGAAGGAAGATTTGCATAAAATTAAACGGAGAGAATTTCGCGAAACTTTATTCGAAACTCCTCGGGTCTTTATTATGAAAAAATCGATTTCAGATTCAACATTTGTGACAGAAGTGGAATCGCCTCGTTGCCCAGGTTTTTCCGGGGTACAATTCTGTATCGCTCTCGGAAGTCGCGTAGATGGGCGGGTTAAAGTTTCAAGCGGGAATCCCACTCTTTTGCAGAGAGAAAGAGAGAGAAGCACCCTGTCGCAGGTAGATACTGCAGATAGCGCGCGACGCGACGACCAGGGTGAAGAGAGAGAAAGAGAGAGAGAGAGAGTCCCGCGTATCGATTTCTGTCCGAAACAATGTGCCGCGACGAAACAAATTCCCCGCGACGGTATCATCATGTAACGCGTGCGCATCTCCCATGCTGGCTCCCACATTCTCTCACAACCTTGCCGTTTTCGGAAGCAATCTGCGCGACAAGACGTACAGGGTGATCAAGATCAGGGATAGGACGAGGAGATAGAAGAGGAGGATATAGGACGCTACGGATTAGAATTAAACTCCGTAAGAGAGAGAGAGAGAGAGAAGTAATGGAGCATTGGCGATAAAATACGTCTGGTTATGTCCCACGAAATGTCAAAATTTAATTAAAAGGAATGGACAGGTTAAATTAGGCGCCACGCGCGATAATTAATGTGCAACATTTTTTTTTTTTTTTTTTAGAATTAATCGAGATTTATTCGAACGTTTCGGTCTTCGTATTAGACCATCTGACAATCAGTAATATATATGTGATATTGAATTAATAAATAAATTAGAACAGATAAAAAATTGAATTAATAAGAATAAATACAAAGCTGTATAAAAAAAATGAAAAAAATTAGAAGCTGATATTCTTTACTTATACAGACGCAAAGCAGATGTATACTCAAAGAATCATCAGAGATGATAGAGACCGGACTGTTAATTACAGAAATCAAGCAAAATGGTCGGACGACGAGGTCGAGCTCGTTAGCATACGTCGGGAATGATCCTAGAATGAGATGGAGAGATGATACGAGAGCGAGAAAGAGAGAAATGAAGAGAGTGTGATGCGGTAGCCGGACTTATATTATCGCTAATATGAAATATAGAGGCGGCTGTGCGGCGCCGCAACTGTTGAGACTTAACGGCTGCAGGTGGCCTGAGAGAAGAGAGAGTCTCTCTTGGGCATTTCGGGCCCTTCTCGCCAGTCCTGACTTTTAAGTCCCGTTTCTGGACCGGCTTCGATCCTCTCTAACGCACACACACACGTGTAAGAATGCGATCGTATATACGAATGTTTATACGATTGTACGTATGAATATATAATATTTTACATCCGTTTTCTGATAAATTTAATACATCTATCCGATTAGATAATTTATTTTGATGAGCAACCGATCTGAAAACTTGATTATCTTGATTTCTGACGACACGTGTATACAAATTCGACTTTTTATTCAGAAGTTAATCTTATTGCGACTGTGATTTTCTGTTGTCGACGAGTAGATATTCTCTTAAGAAGGAAATAATCGATTTTGTCTCCGATTTTATCATTCGACACATTTACAATCCTGTAATCTACGAGCGATTATTAAGTTTATTTTGTTCTTATTATATGTTATAACACAAGTTGTGCGCCTTCGACGTATTTATTTTGTCCATCATATCGCGGAGAATGCGGAGAAGACGACGCCCCATGCGGGCGCACATTTTCTTCCAGAGAATTGTGTCCAAGGAGTTTATGGCATATTGTAGATTACGATCGTAAGGACAAATATGTGTTTCGTCGATGGGACACGTCCTCACCACGCGATCATCCACGCGCTCGAGATACAAATACATAAATAGCCACGATATTACATTGAAGAAACTGGCATCGAAACACGGGGGATGATTTACGATACGCAGCCGACAGCTGAATAAAAGTGTCTTTCCACCGATTAAACTTAATTTTCTCATAAAGAAGTGAGAAACACACCTGGAGCATACATAACGATAATTATGCTATATTTTCAAGTACTTTACGAGCCAATGAAAAGAATTTCGTTCTCACTAAGCTCGAGCATGCAGAAATTCAATAGAATATAACAAGATTTAAAAAATTGAGATCCCAAAAATTAGAATATTCAAAAAGTGCACACTTTTCATGTTTAAAAAAATTCAGACTAATCTAATTATAAAAAAAGCTACACTTTATTAAAAAATAAGATTAAATGATGCATAAGATATTTCATGATTTATGAATTTTAAATCTCTATCTGACTAAACTCCATGTATCAAGAAAGAATGTTGTTTTACGAGAAGAACTCTGTTTTTCCGCATCACCGGTTACTTAGAAAAAAACGTTTCGTAGAAAAAAACGTATCCTAGAAAAAAAAAAGATCACGCTTTGCGTGCGACGCAAACACCTTTTTCCGTTCAATCGATTAGAGTCCATTTGTAATAATTAGCCGCGAAAGGCTACCGAGAAACCGATCCGCTCTCCAACGTGATTTGCATGTGGCGATTTATCAAACATCGCGTCATCCAAGTAATACATGTTGATAGCGGCATTACATGCACGATTTATTGGTATTTTTATTCTTACGCTCGGTAGATAGCAATCACGGCGGAATGCCAAGTCGAACGAACGTTAATCCAAGTCTCAATTAATACAAACGTGTTTCCATTAGATATGATACTGTAGATATAGTGAAATCCATCCAATCGCGACTTTTGCAGCAAAAGTCAAAATTTAAATATCCTCACGAATGAAAAAGAAATCACTCACAGCGGGGATTCCATTTAAAAAGCAGAATATAATTTAAGATAATTTAAATACCAAAATCTATAATAAAATCCAATGATATAAGAGATCCGAAGAGTCTGACAAATCAAAATTTTGACGGTTCGAAAAGACGCGAAAAGAAAATTAAAGACCTTGAGTAATTAATCCAAAGATTTAAAACAGTTTTACCTATCTGTAGAAGCAATTGACTGGAATTCTAGAAGCGCGATCAGAAATATGATTTCGAAATGATTCCACGATTGAGATTACAGATTTAATTCAGATTATCACGAAAATGCAAAGCGCCGAAAACTGATACGACAGCTGGGACGAAAATTTCTGATCATTTCGTACGGAATAAATGAGGGACGAAATCCCACGAAGGAGCGTTTTACATTTAACAACTGTAATCTCTTCCAAGAGTGCTCACTTTGTCGGTAATTTTGCATTAATATCACACGCGATCGTGCAAATCGTACAACTACGGTGGGGAGAAACAAACTCGCCCTTTGGTTATTTCTCTCTTTATTTTTTCCCCTTTTTCTTTCTCTCTCTCTCTCTCTCTCGCGAGCATTAAACCAGTTTCAAAAATATCGCTGGCAATCTCGCGGCCGAAAAACAAACGTCACATTACGATGTTTGGAAGGAATATGCACACATATATGCATGGCCTGAATGTTCGCAAAGCGAGTTCGCTTATGTCGGAAATCTTTTATTTCTCTTTTTTCTGCTCTTTCTTGTTCTCTCTCTCTCTCTCTCTCTTTCCCTCGTGAACATTCGGAGCAAGTCACGGATTATCCGGATCTACACAGGTATTTACAATGTGAGCGTATATAATTACGCAAAGGCCAGGAATTATAGGCGTATTAATTAAATGACCCAGGGGCGTAATTGAACGAGGCTTGGAGAGGTGTCCGGTGCCACTTCATTGATTATAATGCACATTAAATTCGCGTGGTTTCGCAAATCGCGCCCTATCGCGCGTTTCAGAATTCTCCATCGACGATTTCCTTCTCTTTGCCATATATACATGCATATTCCTTCTTTTTATTTAAGCCAAACGTTAATTGTAAGAATATCATGCAAAGAGACATTTCTTATTTGTACCTACATATGTCAATTTGAAAAAAAAATACATTAATTAAAGATATATAATCGGAAGAAAAAAGAAGAAACTCTCGTCAATTCCCGGATGCTATAAGATAAGCTTACGATAAGAGGGAAAAAAATGAAGAAATAATACGGGCGAGCGTAATGAAGCTTGAGAAAAAACGACGTGTATCGTTCGCGAGGCGTTGGATGGAATAATGTTTCCGGCGAATTAAGATCCGAATTTAATTCCACTACCGCGCGCGCACGCGGGAGATAACTGGCTTCCAGCGAAGATGCCGAGAAGTCGTTTCCAAGGTAGCAGCTTTATGGCGAGGCAAGGCGATCGCGTTGCCGGGATCCCGGGTTTCCTATTCGTTTTCTGCAATGCGTTCTCGCTGCTGCATACATGCGGGACAACCCACCGCAACCTGTCAAGACTCCACAATCCGCACTGCTCTCCACTGTCGGTATACAATGCATATCCGTGTATGTGTGTCGCGTACGCGCATGTATGCGTGCACCGTATGTAAACGCGCGCAGGAGAGTAGCGAGACACATGTTAAAATGCGCGCGCGATGTGCATTCATATA